GTAATTACAAAACAAATAAAATGAAAAATAAAAAAAACAGCTTCAATATAATATATTAGATTCTACCAAAAAAAATAATAAAAGATGTGAGGAACTTTAAAAAGAAACTCTCTAATACGATGAACAAAATTTAAGTAAACTAAATTCCTATTCAAATAAATCAGAAATCAATGTAAGTACTTATTTCATATAAGACAATAAAGTGTCCATCAATTTTGTAGTCTGTTAAAAATAAATACTTGTTTTAATATCGCAAAGTTATATTAGTTATGTATGAAGTACACAAAAACAAAATTTTATGACAATTAGATTAGATTATATATATATAGAATGATCATTTTCCCGTCATTTTATTTCAATAAGTTTTAAATTTGCCGCTTAAATATCTTAACTAATCAAATTTAAATGGACGTTACGCATGCTTTATTAAAACAATTTGTCCAATATAGCAAGAAAACATAGAACTTTCAATTTTTTTTCTTTCCTGATTGTTTTCTGTTTCCTTGATATTGATTATATTTATGTAACATCTTTGAGTGTAATAAAAATCTTAGGTTAGAAAATTGTCTACTCAACCAATCATAAAGAAGTATAATATGAAATTAAAATGAAATATACATCACGTAAAAGTATTGCGATTCAAGGACTAATTGGTTACAATAAAATTATTAAAGTTAATTATTTAACAAATAAAGTATTTCATTCGATTAAATAATTCACAATGCGTTTAAATTAAAACTTGTTTTCTCTCTTTATTAGATAAAAATGTAAAAAGATAAGAATTTTCATACGAAGATAATAGAAAATTTCTATATTATTTACTTATTATTCTTATACGTAATAGATTCTCTTTTTTTTTATCTAGCTACCTTACCTTTAGTCATGGCAGACATTTCGTGAGTCGCTCTTATCAGGAATAAAGTATATTTCCTTGTCAGATAAAGTGAAATACTAACTCATTACGGGATTTCACATTTACTTATTTCTCGTGTAAGCAATATTTGTAATAATAATTATCCAAAATCTTCTAACTCGTTAACGTTTTTGTTAAATGTTCTCTAAACTATCTCTTATCTTGATCGATAGTGTAAAATATTTTTTTCTTCTTTTTCATTATCTAACAAGACGAAATTATCTCATATCTCGATTAGATTTCTTAACGAAATATATTTAAATTAAAAAAGAAAAAAGAAGAAAACATTATCGTTTGTAAATAATAGCAAAAAACAAAAAAAATTGTATAAATTAATAGATTGCTAGAAGCATCAAGAAATAATTGATTTTTTTAACTTTAATTATTAACCTTATCTAATCGTTAAAGATAAATTTTTATATAAAGCTATATACATATGTATATATATATATGTCTACTTAGATGCATATGGTATACAAACAATTGAATTAATCGTGGTTAAAAATGTGTATTACTAGCATAAGATTTTAATGCTTAAATTTTTTTAATAGAAACAAATTTAGTAAAACATAGTATTAATTTCATTAGTTGTTTAATTTAAATTGCAAAAAAGATCAAAAATATAGTTTATATAATATAGTTTAATAAATAAGTTATTAAAAAGGTAAGAAACAAACGAACATCAAATTTTTCTTATTGAAAATAATTAAATGATAGTCTTTGATTTTGTTGTTACGGATATTAAGTTAAAAATTTGTTGCGTTCTAGAGTTAAAGAAAAAAAAATTGTTAAATAACAATAAGTTTAATTTTTTTTGTTAAACAATGTGCTGCATGCTCGATATTTTTTGCTCGTACATTGCGTCACTCTGCAGAAAATACGGATTTGTATGTTGTACTTGCTTTCCGGAATCCGTCAGTGATGATTCCAGCCTCGAAAATTTTAATTATTTACACCAGGATTACAGCATCTAAATATTTATAATAAAAAAAAAGAAAAGAAAAGAAAAGTTCGATTCCCATACGTTTCTCGATACAATTCCACCTTTTCGTTTCCATTATTTTTCTATTGTGTAACGATATTGTTAACCTTTCTCATTTACAATTGGATTTTTTTTAAAAGCTTTACTCAAAATTATTTATCTGTTATTTATTAATGATTTACCTTTATTATTTGCTTGTTATAAGTATAATTAGTAATCATCATACGTTCTTCTCATTTCATTTCACAATATTAAAATCAAACTCTTAGTACAATCTTTTTCTTCACGTGAATTTTTTCAAATCAATCAAACCACATTTATAGTTTACTTTTCCTCCTATTTCATAAGTACTTGAATAATTATATGAGAATGTTAATTAGCGCTTCAATCGCTCTCAAAAATGTTTTATTTTCAGACTAAAAGACTCATTAGAATAAAACGTATCAACAGTGACGTCCGGGAAGTGACCCCAAAAACCTTTTCATTCGTTCGTTTTTAATTTTTCTCTTCAAGTAAAAGAAACGTGGAAAATGGTCGAAGGTATATACGCTATGGAGCAGATTTTCATAGACGAAGAAACAGGTGAAAGTTTAATGCAATCTCTCCAGGACAACTTAGAGATGCATAATCCTATTTGTTCAACAAATAATGTTGAAACTGGTGAACCCGAAGTTAATTTTCAAGGGATTACGCAAAGAAGTAGAAAAGTACCTTTTCAGGTGAAGAATATTTTTCAATTTAACAACATGCTTTACGGGTGCGGTTAATTATACTTTCTAAATTGCTTTTATACTTTCCACAAATGTGTCTTCGGATTAAAAATCAAAATATTATTTATTACAGATACCAAAACAAGTGAAAGATAATATGATGCCTAAGAAATCAGGCTGTAAATTAAATAATATGGAAATGGAACCAGTTCCAATAGGATCATCTTTCGGACAAGTAAATCCAATTTGCTTGTTTCTACCAGCTATCATATATTCTCGTTGGTTTTTAGTATTACTTATGATATTTGAAGTTATTCTACATGTTTGGGCACATCGCAAAAATAAGTTATTGAAAAATGCTAGCGTCTACTTCCGCTCACCATTCCATGCCATATCTTCTGAATTTTGTGCTCTTTGTCAAAATGAAACTTGCATGTATCAAGTTGGAAAATTGCAACAAAAACGTATGCACAAATTCTTTCGACAATGTAATTACATGAAAAGAATAGTTACGTGAAACATCTTCATAAAAGATGAAAACATATTGTACTGTGTCATTATAGATAAATATTTGATCAAGTTTGGCATGCATTAGACATTACTATTTTACATTAAATAATCTAAACTGTCTAAGGATACCTTAAATGCAAATTATTACAATATTAGTAACAATTTGGTGATAAACTAATCTATTTGTAATGTATAAGTAACTGTGCTAACAAAAATCAAAAGTAAAACTAAGTATATTTTTATACATAATAGAAGGTGGAAGATAAGCATTCTATTTAATGAACAAACAGTTGATAATAGAATACAGTTAAGTAATCATTATTCATATATTTTTGTTCGTATAGTAAAAGTATTTTATTGTTATGACATAGGCGCTTATATGAAGATTTTATTTTTATACTTATTAAATTGTTATTAAATTATAATATTATCAATAAAAGTATTTACCTAAATTCATTTTTTATTACTGCTACTATTAAAAAGTTGTTAAGAAAAGAACAATGTATTAATAAAGCTAAACGTTATTTTATTTATGAAAATAATTTCTACGGTGAATATTAAAAAAGTAGAATTAAATCAGATAATATATATGACTCAATAAAATATTTATACAGTTTTAAAAAGATGTAAAATAAGAGTAAAATTTTAGTTTTTCAAAAATCCGCTTTAAAATGCAAAATGACCAATCATGATTATCTGTAATTTCAAATTTATTTTATTCATCACGATTGTAAATATAAGAAATAATCTGTAACCAAAATACAAGTAATAATATTTTATTATTTATGTAAAAAATTTATTTATTATATTAAATTTCTACATAATTCGTTTTATTTTTTTTTATGTTTAAAAAGTGTAATTGTTGATTCCAGTATAATTTAAACCTTGGTAGCTTGAATTATGGTTTCTAGATAATTGTAATAAGCCTATAAAGGATCAAATATTTGATCAAACGTTGTATTACATGTGAACTGTGAATATATATCCGAGGAGTATCGGATAAATTATATTTTTTATGAAATAAAACTTTTAATAGTTCGAATATTATTCATTTAGAACAAAAAAGTAAATTTTATATATATTCATGAATAATGAAATCTATGAGGGATTTATAGTTTTGGCCTCAGGCAAAAAAAACACGTTAATTATATTTATTTAAATTACTAATAAATGTTTAAACCATTAAACTTTAAACATAACGTATATACAAATTTGTTTAATAATCTTTAATTTTTTTAAAGCTTTTATCCAATATAGAGTTAATGTATAAAATTAATATTTGGATCACTCTTGAAAATATAATATAAAATTAAAGAGCACTATCTTCCAATGAATTGTGTATGCCGTTGCTATCATCTTCAATCATTTCCTGTAAATAAAACATAATATATATTTATATATATATATACGTAGATCATCATTATCAAAATCATTCGTTAATTACTAATTGCAATAAATTTTCCTTTCACTTACTTGTAATACTTCAACTAATGCTCGTGTTTCGTTCAACATTTCGTTACACAAACGATTTTCTTCCTGCAATGTTGCTATGCGTTCGTGTAATGTTTTATTTTCATCTAGCGCGTCATGAAGTGCTATTCGTCGTCTTTCTGCTAGTACTTGCCAATAATTCTCGCTTGGACCAGCTGCAATACAAAAACACATTATTAATTTAATTAGAGATCTGTGTAACTTCTTCATTCAATATACATTTATTGCGAATATAATTTGATATATACCTTCAGAGGTTAAATCTTCTATTTCGATTTGAATCTGCTCTCCTCTACTTGTTTGAACTGCCTTATTTTTACAAATAACATTTTTGTGTTTTTGTTTTGTTATTTTTGGTTTCTTCGTTGTACTTTCAATATCTCTGTTGTACAAAATCATATAATAATATTATTTTTTGTGGAATACATTTATCTAATATACAATACAAATAAAGTAAATATATTTTCAGTACTTCTTTAAGGCATCTTTGATCGATGAATCTACTTTGATGGTTCTTCCGCCACCAACTAGATTTTCTTTGTCTACAGCTGTTGGTTGCAAGTCGTGCAAAGATTTTTTAACTTTAGTCTGTGTAAGTAAAATAAAGTAAATAGTTTTACAGCATCTCCTTTAATTGTACAAGGAAATGATTAATTATCTACTCTTCTACTAAAAAATGTTATTTTTGACGATGACGTTCTTTCTGTAATGTTTTAATTAACAAACAATTTTTTAAAATATGTTCACTAAAATTCGTTCATGTTATAATTTAAATTGAACTAACTGCCATTTAGAATAGACTTTAGATCAAATGTTATGTATTGTTTTTAAAATATATTTTAATAAATATATTTAAAATATATTTCTTTTTCATACAATTATACTCATAATGAAAACATTTAACAATTATATTTTCTTACACTTCAATTATAAAATTTATTCATGATATTTTGGAATTCATGGAAAAAAATAGAATAAACAATATTTACATTAACCTCTGATGTGGTAGTTTTGGCGCCAGAAACTTTTTGATCACCCGTTGGTTTCATGATTCGATAATATATATAAAATTAACTTAATGTTTCTCTCAAAAGAATAATATTCGAACTATTTATAATATCTTATTTTATGAAAAATAAACTATATCCGATATTCATTGTACATTTTCACAGTTCAAATGTAATTCAACGTTTGACAAAATATATGTTTCGCTATAAGCTCATCACAAACGTTTAGAAACTATAGTTCAAGCGACCAAAGTTCGAATAATACTAGAATCAACTGTTACGCTTTTTAAACATAAAAAACAAGACGGATTATAGGAATACTTATTATATAATAAATAAAATATTATTTTCGTATTTTGTTAGAGATTTTTTTTATATTTACAGTTTTAATGAATAAAAGAAATATGAAAGCAAAAATGATTAGGGTTGGCTATTCTGAACTATGAAAATATTCCTAGACTCTAATAATTGATGCGTCATCTATAGACTCAGTGTTGAAGCGCAATTTTCGTATATAAGCCGTACTACAGAATATTCGGTACTTAATTTGACAATGAGTTTTAAGAAATAATCCCTTTTCATTTTTCTAGGAAAGTTTGAATAATCATTTTTCGCTAGAAAGTATATCTAATTAAAATTCCTAATTTGGTATAACCTTAAATATTTAGTTATTTTCCTTCTTATCAAATATCTTAATCTTTTATCTTTCCATAATGAGATTACATTTAATATTTTAAATATGCTTATATTAACAAAGTTGATTTTATCTTGTTCATAAACAGATTACATTGTTACTTTGGAATATCGTTACCAAATGATGAAACCAACAAGTGAAACGAAAGTTCTTGCCTCCAAAACCGTCACTTCAGAGGTTAGTTTAAATATTGGTATTATATTTTCTTTTTATTCTTTTATCAATGTCGTGAAAACATTTAATAATTGATTAGATATTTTGTTTATTAGACTTATTGTAGAATTGGATTAGTATAAGGCTGAATTGTTTTAAATAGTCTGAGCAACAAGTTATAACATATGATAAAAGCACACCTTAAGTGACGGTTGATTTAATTTATATTATTTCTCAAACGAGTAAATACATTTAAATAATTATTTTTTTATCAATACGTGCTGGAAAAAAGTTATTGCTAAAAATAACATAATTTAATAGAAGGTTAGGTACATCGAACATTAGTTCAGCTAAGGGATGTGATATATCACAGTTTTCTGTTTTATTAAAACAGGCTAAGGTCAGAAAGTCATTTGCACATTTTATAGCCAGAACCTACAGAAAAAGGGATCCTGAGTGAGACGGAAAGTAATGTCACGACAGAATTACCAACTCAAGATGTTCGAAATATACCGGAGAAAGCAAAAAAGGAAATTTATGTCAAAGCGGAATTACCACTTCAAGATACCGTAAAAAAGTATTTATACATATTTTTATTTTTTTATAAATTATATAGGAGATTAATGTATATTGTAAGAATTAATAATATTATACGATTTTGTACTTTAGGGATGTTAAAGACACGTCGGTGAATTCAAAAAAAGAAAGCATTAAAAATAGAAATTGTTTTTATAAAAAAGATAAGGCAGTTCAAATAAGTAGAGGAGAGTTGATTCAAATCGAAATAGAAGATTTACTCTCTGAACGTATATATCAAATTGTGTTCGCAATAAATGTATATTGAATGAAGAAGTTACACAGATTTCTAATTAAATTAATAATGTGTTTTTGTATTGCAGCTGATCCAAGCGAGAATTATTGGCAAGTACTAGCAGAAAGACGACGAATAGCACTTCATGACGCGCTAGAGGAAAATAGAAAATTACACGAACGCATAGCAACATTGCAGGAAGAAAATCGTTTGTGTAACGAAATGTTGAACGAAACACGGGCATTAGTTGAAGTATTACAAGTAAGTGAAAGGAAAATTTATTGCAATTAATAATTAACGAATGATTTTGATAATGATGATGTACATATATATATATATATATATATATATATATTTACAGGAAATGATTGAAGATGATAGCAACGGCATACACAATTCATTGGAAGATAGTGCTCTTTAATTTTATATTATATTTTCAAGAGTGATCCAAATATTATTTTTATACATTAACTCCATATTAGATAAAAGCTTAAAAAAAATTAAAGATTATTAAACAAATTTGTATATACGTTATGTTTAGAGTTTAATGGTTTAAACATTTATTAATAATTTAAATAAGTACAATAAACGTTATTCTTGCCTAAATTATTTATATTTTTCGATTGTACTTATTATGCGTCTCTTTGTAAATATTATTTGTATAGCTAAGGAGATTGTGTTAATTTAATATATTATTAAATATAAATAAGTATATATAATTTTTTTTCTTACAGTCGCACATGATTATATATTTATCAATTTTACATGCGGTATGTAAAAATGGTAAAACATTATAAACGACTGCTCGTAAGTTAGTCTATAAATTTATTTATAATAACAAAATTATATTTTTTAACATATATAAAAAAAACAAATTGTATTTATATTTAAAAATGTTAGTCTATCAACAATAGTCAATAGTAGAAGATATACAAGGTCTTCATTCTTTAGTATAGTGGTCACATTTGTAAGTAAAATGATTCGTAGATTTGTGCGAAAGTTTATGCCAAATTAATTGAAGATGTAAGAAATTAAAAAAAACAAGAAAATATCAATCCACTTTAATTTTCCTTCTTGTGTCAAGATCAACTTGTTAATTGTGTTTTTAATCTCTTCGATATTCGTCAAGTATTACGTTATGTAAATTAATTCAATTGCGAGGTCTGCTAGAAGGGATATATATTTATAAAAAAAAAAAATATATATATTTGTATATATATCTATAAAAGCTGATTTTATTCAATCCTCGTCTTTGAAACGACGATAAAAGGATTGAACGTAAGTGAAGACGCATTTCCAATCCGGACGTCGCATAGCCACCATGTCCTCAACATCGAGTAATGGTGCGATACCAGCTTCACTATAAAGAAAACAATGAACAAATAATATTATACATTTTTAATTATTTTTAAGAGAAGATAATGAAGGTAATAATAAATCTCACTCAGCTGTTTTGAATGCCAGGTCAAAATTCTTCCTGCGATCCTGCGGACGTAACGAATAATAATCGAAGGCATTAGGTCTAAAATGATGAATCAGAGCACAAAACGCCAAACCATTGTTCCAACTGGTCGAGAAATTATCAAGTTGTATATTCTGCAAATCAATAATGTTAATATATCAATTTCAACGATGATATTGAAAATGAGAAAGAATATATGTACTAATAATTAAGACAGCGGGCTAAATTGAAAAATAGCAAATAAATTAATTTTATGATTTATGTTATAATAAAAATAAATGTTGTATAAAATATATCATAAAATAAATTGAAAAAATGTTGTTATTTAGTCCATTATAATAATTACCAGCACATATGTGAAACCTGGATATTGCGTGTTTACCTCATATTCTTTGGTTTTAGAACGGCACCAAGCTAACAATCGTTCCTTTATTTGTACCGCGTTATTTGTCACAGTAGGTTCGGTAAATCTAAAACGAAACTCCTTTTCTGGCGACTTTATGGGACTGGATCGGAGATCGGAAAGGACAGACAAAACATTAGAAGACACAACAGAGAGTGGAATTCAGGATATAATAGAAGAAGAGACAACGAGAGAAGAGATTTTTCTTTAATTTTCGAAGAATTTTTTCGTTGAGTTGACCAAGAATAGTGATAATTACCTTGACGGCAAAGAAGAACTATATTGCCGATCTAGTTGACGAAATTTGGCAAATGGCGATAATGGTTTCTTGGGGGCTGAAAAAAGAAATGTGCTGTTATCGGTGAATTCTTTACGACTATGTTATTCACACTTGCAAGAGTAGTAAATCTTTAGTTTGTAAGTATTCAAAAATCATCAGTATCAATCTCTTAATTCAAAATAATAAGTAGAGATTCTTTTAAAAGTATAATTACAGTTAACTGAAATGGATTTTGTAACGTTCTTTTACTATAACGTTATATCGCTATTAAAGCTATGAGTTAGTTCAAGTGTCGGCCAATTTAACATCGGTTTTGCTTGCTTTTCCAGGCATAAAGAGATATAGAGAGGCTAAAGGTTTTTTAAGATCTTGAGGAAATTCACTCCAAGCTTTCTCCAATCATCTTTCGTGTGGTAGTGTATTGTTTCTTCAATTGCATCGTCGTTGTTGTTAAAAAGGATTCATTGTAAACTGTCTTATTTATATAGATGCATGCTAAAACTGTGAAGTGTAATTTGTGTTTATTTGTAGCAACAGAAATCTATAATTTCGAGGCAATTGGCAACGACGACGGATGTTCCTATGATCAGGAAGATCCTGGCATAAGTAACGCGAGTTTGGTTGAGTGTGGTCGTAGTGATGATGTTAACTGTACAACCGCGCATATAAATGACACCACACAGCTACGAATATAATCTACGGCAAAAGTCGCACACAGTGCAAAAGAGCAGTGTGGAGAAAACTAGAACACTATTTGGCGCAACAAAAGGAGCTACAGAAAGATGCTTTGTGACTCACTGCTTTATTCGGGGATCTGTACGACCTTCTAGCGAATCTCTATCTTTTTCTCTCTTTCTCCTTCTCACTTTCAATGTCCGTCCTTAGAACGTGTGGCTACGTCCAAAAGACGAAGTAGAATCATACGCGCTGTTAAATGCGCTAGAAAGAAAGAGAAAGAGAAAGGGAGACACATATGTACGTCTTAGCTTTTGTGAAAGGACTGCCAAAAGCCGGTGCCTTCTAGCCAAATAATATGAGCCGAACAGCATCGTCTTCTTCAAGTTCTCTGCCTTACGTTTCTTGGTGAAATCTCTTTGAGGTTGCAACATAATAAGATATCCAGAGTTACTTTTCTTCTCTGAGTCTCCTCGAAACATTTTCTTTTTTCTTCCTTTTATCATTTCAAATTTGTACCTGTTGAGACCGATGATGTATGCCGATAATCGATCATTTTTCTTTTATTTCAGATTTACCCCATGCTCATATAGATTATTCCGATATGAAAATAAATTATTCATGATGGTAACTGTAACGCTATTTAATTCGTCTTGGGATGTATTTCTCTGGTTGACGAATTGATTTAACATCTTCAACTATCTCTAACATCCCTTATTATATTTTTTTTATTGTGCGAACCAACGATAAATATGATTATTCGATTTTGATTATTTCTCACTTGACGATATTAACACAGTCTTTGGTTTGTGAATATGACCGTCGCGCGTTTTACGTGATACTAAGTATTTATGTAGATATCATCTCATGGACGATACTTTCAATAATAATAATAATAATAATAACAATAACAATAACAAGAACAAGTATAACAATAAAAGAATAATACACAAATATAAAAATCACATTGCATCTTGCGTTCGATCAATGGATCCGTTTGCGATGAATTTTTTATCGTAACTCAATTTCTTGCGTATTCGCAGCAGCTATCGCTACCATTACAAGTGGCCGATGCAAGAAGAACAAAAAGAAAAAGAAGAGAGAGAGAGAGATAAAGTTGATCGGTCAGCAATGCTGACCGTCCATCCTCGTGGCTTCCTGGAAGATGTCGTCGAAGACCTTGTCGACGTCAGCACTGTTAACTTGTAGGAGAGGTACTTGTGTTGGTGGTATCGTCAAGACGAGTTTCTGTTCGCAGATACCAGGCAAGGTACGACTTCTCGATAGACCGATCATGCACTTTCCATGAATATGACGAGGAGAGGAACGTTTCTTTGATTCCTTAGTTTCGTTCGTTGAACTTTCATTGGGATTATCAAAATATCTTCTTATCTTGTCCTCCATCTTTTTGACACTGTCTGAAGATGCTTCGTATTGTTTTGTTCGAAATTTCATGGTCGACGGTGATCTAGGTTTTGGGGGTTTCGGTAAGTAAGAAGCTCTCGATAACGACGAAGGGTTGGAGTCGTTTGTACGAGGAATACGAGAGGAACTGTTGGAAAGAGCCAACTGATGCCAAGATTCAGATTTTGAAAGAACGATCGATCTAGATGGTTGATTGGCGCAAGACATTAAATATTCATCGCTGGAATCAATTGGATTTGTTCCATTTGATATCGGTGATCGTTCCTTGCGAATAGGTTTGTTTGGAATAACGACTGGTTGTTCATAAACTCCTCTCAGAGCTGAAACTTGATTGACTACGCGCGACGTAGATGGTGTGATTTGAGTTTGTTTCGTTGGTAAATCCGGTGAAAAGAATTTCTTCGCTTGAGGAAGATTAACAATACGTTTCGATTGATTGAGTAAAGAAGAGGGTGAGATCGATTCGAGTCTGTTTACATTCTTCATCGGTATATACTCGTTACTTCGTGGAGGTACGTAGTACCCTTGTTCAATGGTTTGTTGTTCCTTCTTGCTATTCTCATGTGTTTCATTTTGATAATCGATCGGTGATCGCTTAAATGGATGATCGATCATAGTACAACGTTCATGATGGAGACGCTGTATCAAACTTTGTTGCAACATATTGTGTCTACGTATCTCCTCATCAACTTCTTCGTCGTTACTTGTTTTCGATTTTGAGTTGGACCAGACAGGTGACACAGATGGAGTCGAGTATTCCCTGAAGTACGATGGCTCGACAATTTCCTCTTGAATATTTGGATTTTCAACAGTTGCCACTGTGGCTATAGCACAAGTATATCTCGTTACGACACCTTCCTCTTCGCTTATATCTTGATTTTGAATATTTTTAGCATCCAAATAGTCATAATGTTTAGATTGAGATCGATCATCTTCCGCATAGTTCACCTTCGCTGATTCGTATTCGTTTTGTTCAGCTTTCGGTATTGGCTCATCGTAAACTGTCACCAAAGCTGTCTGATTTTGCACCTGTGGATTTTTTACGATCGTTTCGGAACAATAATCGTGTAAAGGCACAGCTTCGCGAACGTTTTCTTTTAACGGCAGAACACTATCCGATTCATTTCGCGAACGATATTCTTCACGACTTTTCTCTTCGTCATGATTTTTCTGATTATCCGAAAGAAAATTTTGAACATCTTCTGAAATCGTAGAAGGCACATCACTTGATGTTTGTATCGAGACATTGCTACAAATCAAAGGTGGCCCATTCGAGATCTTTGGAGCAACACGAAAGGATCTAGCTTCATCGTAGGTTGTTTCATCCTGAACACCAGTTTGAACAGCTACTGATGCACTGCCACGTAGAGTAACGTCAGCTTGTTGAGATCCACCTGAGGTTTCAGTTTCACTAATAAAATCACGAGAATCACGAGTTCCCTGAATGTTATAATGATTGTAATCCTTTGATATCATCTGGAACGAAATTTTTCCATCCACAACGTTCGGATGATTTTGTTCACTAATCAATTCATTTAGAGGTTGATATAATTTAGATTTTTGCCGAGGAGCATCGTTGAACTCGGAGGATGTTTTTTCCAAGGATAACGAGGATGCACCTTTGCTAACGAACGGTGCAAATTGCTTACAGAACGAACGGTAATCTAGACGTCCATTTTCTGCGTTCGTTACACTCGATGATTTCTCATGTTCGATCCAAGGTGGTCGTGGAAAGGTACGTCTCTCCGAGTTTCCATCGACTTGAACTTTGTATTCCAAAGATCGTTGTTGAACGTTGTTACTGTTGCCGCCACGATCAAACATCTTTCTTGCCTTCTCACGTAATGTATTGCCAGGCATGGGTATATTGCTTTTAGGAGGATTGGTAGGGATCGGTGAAGGCTTAACGAAGTTCGATACAATAGTTGTCTTTTCGATCCTTCGAAAAGGAGAGGAAGGAGCATGTCTGAAACCAGGAGAGATCGATTGACCAGCGTTAGGTGTATCGTGTTCAAAGTTACAGAAGACATTCGCGTTGAAGGGCTTTTCCTTTCCAGGATTATATCGCTGAGTCACTTGAGGAACTATCGGTGGCCGTTTCGGAAGCTTGTTCTTGTTAACTTGTTGTTCAGACTCATCACCGGAAGTCGTCGTCTTGTCAAAAGCTGTCTTGATATTCGAGAAACGACTGTTCCAATTTTCGTTGCTTATCGTTGATGAATCCATTGTTTTTGTGTAACCAAATGATTTGAACGACGTTGGTGCGTTAAATACAGGAGTATCGTTGTTCTTATTAATTAATGCCATGAATTTTCTATCATTTTCAGTTCTCGGTTGGAAGGATGGTACGATCATATTCTTGATTGAGCTACAATTTGCCTTGTCGCTGACATTTATAGGTTTCTTTAGAGATACGCAACCGCTACCCTCTTGCTTGAGACAGTCAGCTTGTAATTTGAGGTAACTTGGAATGTCAATGGTATTGGCTCGTTTGATCTTTGATTTTTTTGCAATAAATCGATTGGAAGAAGTACACTTGCTCGAGGATTCCACTCGTTGCTGAAGAGCCGCAGCCAACCTGCCAACACGACCGACTTCTACGTTGCCAACTTCCGTGTTGTCCAATTTGTTCCTCGAGTCGATACTAGGTCGTAGAGACTGATGATGAGTCACTTCGTTTGAAGCATTAGTCGATTGGGAGACAACAAAGTCCGTTTTATCGGCATAGAAGGGAACAGCACGTGGTCGAATTTCAAGACCCTTATCGATATTATTTTTATCGCGTAGAGACTGTCGATGATTGATGGCGTCTTTCGTATATTTGTCGTGTATCTCTTCGGGTCTTGGCTTTTCTTCGGAAGAATCGGTAGCCTTCGTTGGTGTGGTAGAGAACAACGGTGGGGGTGTTATTTTCGTAAATGGTGTCACCTCTTTAAAATTTTTTTCCTCTTGTAACCATTTCCTAGCACATGCTAGTTCCTCGGCAGAAACACCAATCGTGTGTCTGCTACCTCGTCTTCTACGATTATTCAGAGACGATGTTGTAGTTGTCAAAGAAGACTTTAACTTCTCTTCTTGGGAAAGTATCTTCTTTTCTTCCTCTAACGATTCACGTGGCATCTCTAATCGGGAAAGTAAACTCGACACTAGACGTAGAAGTTGAAGTTTACTAGTTGGGTCGGAAGCAGCACCGTGTTTTGCTAACGCGCCAACGTCGATTCTCTCAAGGGTTTCTCGTAAACGTGAAAGAGCTGTGTGTATGTCGGACATCAAGAGGTCCTCGAGGAACCTCAAGTCGTTCTTTAAGTCTTGTTCCTTGCCGTTACTATTCTTGCTAGTCGTTGATCGTTCGTCCATGGGACGAACTTTTCGGGAATCATCGACGTCCAGTGCAAGCCCTCGTGAATCTTCCTTGATCGGTGACGACGACGAAGTATCGGCTATCGCGAGCGAGAGCTCGAGCACCGAACGAAGGCGCTCTACCAGTACCGGTAATGAATTCCACTCACCGACTGCTTGTTTCTCGTTGCTGCCCTGATCCGTCGTTGCTCTTGGAATCGAACTACTGGTGGTAGTGGTGGTGGTGGTGGTGTTGGTGGTGGTGCTAGTAATAGTGGTGGTGCTGCTGCTGCTGCTGCCGGTGCTGCTAGTGGTGGTGGTGGTGGTGGTGCTACTGTTGTTGATCGGAAGAGACTCGCCTACTAACCCTACCCTCGTATCTATCTTTTCCTCTTGTGGCTCAGCCAGAGATATGTTCTCGTTGGGCAAGGAACTTGCTGGTTCGGTCACACGTTCGGCCGATTTTGAGGATGGCAGGCACGTCGTGTCGAATGATCTGACTGAAATATTCAAGAAGAAATAAAAAGGAAAGATGGATGGATGGATGGATTGAATTGAATTAGTTCCGTTTATTTTCTTCCGTTCGTTATCGAATGATTACGGAATCCCTCGTAAGAGGATTCTCGCGAAAACGTTCTATTTTTAATCGAAGACGAAGAGATCAAATCGAACGGCCGAGCGACGCCTTTCTTATTTCTTTTTTTTCCTTCCTTCTCTTTATTTCTGTAATAAATTTATCTCGCTTCTGTAATAGAACGCCCTTCGAGATGAAAATAAAACGGACGGGCGTGGGAATGTTATACGAGAGAGATAGAGATAAAGAGAGAGAGAGAAAGAGAGAGAGAAAGAGAGAAGGAGAAAGAGAGAAGGAGAAAGAAAAAAAGAGAAAAAGAAAGAAATAAAAAGAAAAAAAAAGTAGAAGAGAGAAATGAAAGATCGAATAACAATGGATCGAAGGGTATATCTATCTTTCTCTTTCTATCTTTCGCTCTGGATCAGAAAAAAAAGAGGCACGGCTTAAATCGATCGAACGATTCACGCACAGGAAAATGTGTTGATCGGTGGGTTGCGTCTGCTGTCATTTTCACGGAGGGAAAGAGACCGTGACAAAAAGCGCGACACGTGTATTCGCGCGTTTTCGCGACGTTGGATCTCCATTGTCGAATATCTATTTTTACGCGTGGGTAGGCGACAAAAAGATCGCGAATTTCAAAAGAAATAGAGAAAAAGAGAAATCGGAGTGTGTTTGAAAAATTTAAAAAATAGAATAAAACTTGTTTGCGCGTATAAGAGAGGGAGAGAGATTGAGCGGGGAAAAAAAGAGAGAGAGAGAGAGTAACGGAGTGGAATAGACGAAGTAAAAGAAATAAAAAAAAGACAAGACAATGATAAAAGAGAGAGTGAGAGTGAGAATAGCAAAGACGAAACGCGTATCACGAAGGTCGAGAAGTATACTGAAAGCACAGCGAACGAAATTTCTCCGTAGCCAGATGTGTGTTGATATTACGACGCGTTGTTATACCCCCGGAGGGCTAAGAGATCGCAAGCTTTCCTCTTGCGATTGGTTACTTTGCTCTATCCGAATGTGTTCTCGTCTTACCCGTTACTACTACTTAGCAACTACTACTACTACTATTACTAGTACAAAAGTACTACTGTGTGCTACTGTTTGCTGCTTGCCCATTTGGCAAACCACGAATCTTTTGTACGTGTTCATACTGTCTGTAAGAGAAAGAGAAAGAAAACGAAGGAGAGAGAGAGAGACTTTTCGCGGTAGGTAGAAGAACGTCTGGATAAACGAAGAAGAAGAAGAAGAAGAAATAGATAAGCGGGTAAATAGGGGAAGGCTGGTAGAAAAGAAGAGACTCGAGGGATAAACGAACGTACGAAGGGAAAAACAAACGGATAGGTTAGCGAGAGAGAGGATCCAATAACGTATGGAATAAATCGACCGGTGGATAGACGTTTAATGGATAGAACGAATATGTATAAATCGAGGATCTACGAGAGAGAAAGAGAAAGAGATACGGGTTGACCGCCTTCGACCATCGTTCGCTCTCGCTTTATTTAAAACGCACGGTATTCTCCGTTGGATTTATTTTCGGTCGCTCGCTCGTTCAACGCCTCGCAGCTGCTGCGAGCTAATACTCTGCATCGTGGAAGCTTTACTCTCAAAGAAAGAAAGATAGAGACAGAGAGAGAAAGAGAGAGAAAAAGATAGATAGATAAATAGATAGATAGATAGAGAGACTTTACGTATATATGTCTATGTGTACGTGATCAAGAAGATCGATCGAAAATAAGGCGATCCATCACGAACCTGATTCCAAAGTTTCCCTCGTTTCTACGCTTCCCTGAGATTTCTCGCTCTGATCCTCGTCTTTTTCTTCTTCTACTCTTTCCTCTTTTCCTTCTGATCTCTCCTCCTCCTCCTCCTCCTCCTCCTCCTCCTCCTTCTCTTCTTCTTTTTTATCTTCTTTTTCTTCTTCTTCTTCTTCTTCCTCCTCCTTCTCTTCCTCTTCCTCTTCCTCTTCCTCTTTCTCTTCCTCTTCTTCTTCTTTGGCTTCTTCTACTTTTTCTTCTTGAGCTTGTTTTTGCTCTTTTTCCTTTGGTGACAGAAGCCGAAGCTCATCGACGATTTCCGAATCTACCGAAGTCGATCTCCTCTTCCGTTGATCCTCATCCTCCTCCTTCCGGTCCTCCTCAATCTCATTTTGAATCTCATCATTCTCCGTGACGATTACTGTAACACCAATCAACCCCAAGAATAAATGTATGTCTACTAAGTACTATTTGTAAGTAAAATCTTATTCAAGTTTTCGAGATAGAAAGGATTGCAAGATAAATTAATCTAACGCTTTCTTTTACACATTGGTTTCTTTTCTTATCTTTTCTTTTCTTTTTAATTATTTATCTTCGTTTGCGTTTGTTTTTTTCTCGACTGAATTTACTTTTAAAATATAATAATGTCAGAAAGATAAGTATATCTTGATAATTCTTACCCTCTGCATCGGACATGTCTCTTTTAATCCTCCACCTCCTCTTCTTCTTCTTCGACCAAGCGCGTCTGAAAGTAAAAGGAGAGTATTTTAATTATCGTTTTCTTTTGTTATTATCATCAAGAGGCACAAGAGATAAAGATTAAAAGAGTAAGATCGTCACGCTTTTACTCTCACGACTACGTCTAATAACTCTATGAAAATTACATTTAATCATAAATAATTCCTGACACGGGCTTTGATATAGGACAACCAGTCGAAAGTTTCTTTCTCGAGTCGAAAGAAAGAGTTGAAAAAAAGAAAAAAAGAAAATAAAAAGGAAAAGAAAGGGGGAGGGAATGGGAGGGGGAGGGAGGTTGAAGGGGGGAATAAACTCCAACCGTCGACGTTGCAACGAAGGTCGTTACGATTAATCACGGGAGCATTCGATTAATTTTTGGTCTCCAAACACGGGCACCAGTTCGAAACATGCACCGTTCTTCTCTCTCTCTTTCTCTCTCTCTCTCTCTCTCTCTCTCTCTCTCTCTCTCTCTCTCACTCTTCGTTTGGCTATACGCCAAGCACTGTAGCCTCGCGAATAATTCTTCATCGAGGCGGAAGAATCCGGAGCGGTTTCGCGTCTTGACGATCGTCGTTACTTATTTCACCGTGGTTTTAAAGGCGTTGGCCATCGCGCGTGTAGCTTCTTAGGCTAGAGCGCGAAAATAACTTTGACCTGTTTACGCGAATACGGAAATTAGGAGGACCTTATCTGGATTCAAGAACTGGAAAATTCTTATGAACGAACACTAACTTTCCTTCGATCTTTCTTCTTAACTGTAATTTACGTAAAATCCTATCTTTAATATCGTCGAATGACGTCAAGTTTGTCTCAATACGTGAATTACTAATAATAGAAAAAGGAAATGAAATAGAGATAGATAGATAGATAGATAGAGAGATAGATAGAGAGAGAGAGAGAGAGTGAGAGATGTATTTTCTCTATGTTTCAATAAAATATTCGAGCTATTCTAATATAAGAGTCGATTGTCAACTATAGTCTATTTCTTTATTCGTTTCGTTTGTTTGATGCCAAGCCGGCTATCTTCAGAACGTTTTATTGCACAATTTTATTCATTGATACGTTCACCTCTATCTTTCTCATTGTTTACTCGAAAATTAGGAATGCTTTTCTTGGGTTTATAGAAAAGAAACTAATATTGTTCGATTTGTCAGCTCGACGAATGTTCTTAATAATATTTGGATGAATAAATTATTTTCTCGAGATAGATATCAGGAATACGAGGGAATGGATGCTGAGTGAGATTCCTTCGAAACGTGGCTGATATACAATGGGCCACCACAACCACCACCAGTACCACCACAACCACCACTACCAGAATGTTTGATCAAAAAGCACGGTCACGAGAATAGACAATGACGTGGTTGAAGAAGACGACTGCGAAGACTTTTGGGATCTCTCGATCTCCCTTTCCCCTTTTACGATTTATCCTATTGATCCGCAAATTTTTTGTTATCTATATAGGACTTTTATTTAAAAGACTAACCGCGATAAAGTCTAGGCACTTGCCGTTGGGCCGATATCAAGGCAGGAAGGGAATAATTTCGTGATAGGAAGAGACCAACGTTAAACGATTCGATTCGATAGCCTTCGTAGTTATTATCGATATCCCGATATCTCTTCGATACAGCTCAAACCACAAACTTTTCACTCTCCCCGATATCTATCAGTATTCATCGTTATACCGAAATCGTTTATCCGTTCCTCTGTTCCAACTACGGAGTAATCTGAATGAAAAGTAACGTGTCAGGAAATGCCGTTAACGTAGAAGCTATTTTACGTGGGTTCGACTCGAATCGTATTACGATTCTGACCTATCTCTCTCGCAAAAGCGCTAAACCACCACGGTAGCCAGGGATAGTAGCAATAACATCGCAACCACCACTACCATCACCACCACTACTATTACTACTATTTACCACCACCAATACCAATACCATCATCATCATCATCATTATCATCATCACCACCACCACCACCATCACCACCACCACCACTACTACCACTAGTATCGGCCCCAGGAGTAGCACGAGTAGCACGAGTAGTAGAGGAGAATGGTCGGTGGTGGTCCTGACACATCGATCGACCGCGTGCGGTTAAAAGCTTGCTGGAAAAAAGATGGTTCAATCGATTACCTTCCGATGCTCGGAGTAAGAGCAGCCCGACGATCGTGTGCGAAGAACGAGAAGTAAGGTAGATCGATGTGTGTATGTATATACGACTGGTATATGTCTATATATTTATATCTATATATATATATAGAAGGTAGACAGAAAGAAAAGAAGATCAGAGACAAGGATGTTGTAGCCAAGTAGAGATGGATCCGTGATCTTCCTTGTCTTCTTCGCGAAGGGACTAAAAGGAACTTCTTGCCGACAGGTCGTACACTCTTCTTTCTCTCTCTCTCTCTCTCTCTCTCTCTCTCTCTCTCTCTTTATTCTCTTTTCTTTTCTTTTTTTCTCTTCTCTTTGCTTTTCCCTGGTAATGACGATCGACGATCCACGACGAGGACCACGACGACGATGAAGGTGGCGTCGGTGACGACGGTGGATGATGCTCTGCCACAAGCTGCTACCTAAAGGCATAGCGTCACCCGGACCAAATTAGACAAGCAGAAATAGCCCGAGTTATTGCCGGCGCTATGTATGCGAGAGAGAAAGAGATAGATGCTCCCGATGCATACCTTGTATCTTGTCTACAGACGCTAACGTGGAGACCGATTTTCTTCGCAGCATGCGGAAGACCGGACTACCGGTTCTTTCTCTTTCAATGGAACTTCTTTTTCTTCTTTTTCTTCTCCTATTATCTTCTTTTTTATAGAGAGGAATTTCGAATAGGATGCATGGCAGTAAGTGGTTGCCTAATCAAATTGATCTTAAGTATTAAGAGGTGTTATTTTATTTGATTTATCTTATAAAAACAATGTCACGCAAAATTTAACGTGTCCAATTAGATAAAAAATTGCAATGTACGTACCGACAGATTTTGAACATATGAAGTGTAGAAAAAAAAAAGACACTAAGTGAAATACGTATACGATCGACATTGTTCGATCAAGCATTGATATCTCTGACTCTTTATGGACCATCATCGATCGATATATTTATCATAGAAAACGATCAAATGGAAAGGAAAAACGCGATGAGCAGGAGGTACGTAATTTATGCGCTTTCTCACAGCTGATATGCAATAATCCATTGCACACGATTATGTGTTTCCGTTTCTCTCCCTCTTTTCTCCATTACTTTCCTTTCTCTTCTATTTCCCTCTCTTTCTTTCTCTTTCATGCGAGACGCAAAGCGAAGAACGCCCCACCTGTCCCAAGATCTATCCCTCCACCAACGAGGCCGTTGCTCGATGGTGGAAATTACTTTGAAAGCGAGAGAACCCGTTGACCTACTGCTGCCTTCAGTATACGTTCTATGTCTCTCGCTTTGCTATCACAGGTGCACCTATCTTGACAAGGAGGATCCATCGTTTCGAACATAATTACATTACCGGAATCATTCTGTCCTTGAATGGCTGGAGGAATATCGTAGGATGCAACGTGAAACTTGTCGAGTTATAAAAGCAGGCGGAAACGGCCAAGTAGTATAACGAGAACATCCTGACGTTCGAATTTTACAAAGTAAGTTGTCTATAATGTCAATTAATCAAATTAATCAAATTATATCAATCGATTTATCGTTTAACGTTAAATTCTTTTATTTCTTTTAGTTTTGCTTCATTGTGTCGATGTTCTAAAAGGAAAAAATATAAATTTGTGGTTGGTCTTCGTGAAAAATACGCGAAGATGAAGGGATGGTTCGATGCTTTCAGAAACGATGGTGGACCGACTCTCTATAGTTATAGTAATCGTACACCCGTCACCGGCGATGTTGCTCTTGTTATCGTTTTTGTTATATTCGGGACAATATTTACAGCCTTTCTAGTCATATTTCCTGGTATACGGAAAGAAGTAAGTTGAATAAATTTTTAATCTGAGAGAAAATTGAACAAAGAAAGAAATGAAATATTATGCGAAGAATATGAATTTGTTCAAAATGATATTTTGTAGAGACTAACTACGTTCCTGATCGTTACCCTGAGTCTCTTCGTTGGAGCAACGATTCAAGGTCTGTACAATATTACTTTCAATGAGTCGACCTTGTTGGTCAGCATAAAAGATGATTCTTTGTATGTAAAAAAAAATGCAACTTTAATTGATTTGCTTTAAGTCGCTCAATATGGCTCATCTTGGCATACCAGTTCAGCAACCATCGTTAGTTCGTACAGCGCTTTCTCCAGGCATAGAACAAGAGCTCAAATTGGCGGGTACATAGGACTCATGCATATTAACATTACTTACAAACGTGAGTCACAATATTAAACAACGATCACTACTTCATATGCTTTATAAAGAACGTGTAGTGAAATTTTAAGCGAGTGAGTTTATAAAAAGATTAGTACTCCTCTACAAACTGCAATGTAAAATGTACGAATGAAGCATATTAGGTTCGGGATGATCCCCTTTAAAAGAAACGACGAGTCCACGTTTGAACGTTGAAAAATTTATCCTAGAAATGCTGCTGAATCTCTAACATTCGGACGTGCTCGGAAACGAGAACGTTTGATGCCGATGACATCTTAAAATGAGAGATTCTTGTGTCGTAGGAATTTTTTTCCCCCTCACGAGTTACATATTTCATTAGATTTCATTCTTTCTTCTTTCTTCCTTTTTTCCCTTTATTTTTTTTTTCTATTTTTTTAATTGCTAATTTGTCCTTTGATTGCCTTCATCAGACCTACCAGACAACGAACACACGAATGATGATGCCGAGTATAATGAGAGATTCTCGTGGAGGGGTTCTAATGAAATGACGAGTGCTTTCAAACAAGCGCTCTATCAAGGAGCTCCTTTTCCAATCGTTTCACTGGCGGAATATTTTAGCCTTCATCAGGAAGGATTTTCTTGGGGTAGTAAATACCGTGAAGCTGGTTACTACGCGTCTATAATGCTTTGGTGAGTTTTGTTAACGATTGAAATGTTTTTAAAAGGATATTAGGAGAGAGAGAGGATAACTTGATTCTATTTTTTTTTTTTTTTTTCAGGACCTCTTTTGCTTCTTGGTGTATGATGAATTTATTACTTATGGTCGTACCACGTTACGGCGCATACAGTATGATCATGACAGGATTGTGTATGCTCTGCACAAATCTAATTTATTGGGCATTGCTACCATGCGAACCGTTGATTGCTCATATAGACGGTTCAATTCTCGCTTTCGATATGGGCTGGAATTATTGGTTGATTTTGGTCGCAGGTGATAAATTAGATTGTTTCTATAATGTTTCTCATATCTCTCCCTGTACACTAAATGTATATCATTTATGACGATAATATTTTATAGGTGTCGGATGTCTTTTTGCTGGAATCGTTGTAACAGCGATAGATTTAATATTTCCTCATCAATTTTCAACAATACTCGAAGTCGATTATGATACTCCTTATGACAGACATGTTATCATAGAGGAGAGTTTCGATACGAGAAACGTTAGAAGAAAATTGCCGAAAATTGAAGATTCTTTGGGCGACCGTATCATGAGGTTTTTTTTATCTTTCTTTTTTGTGCTTTCAAATCTATATAAAATTTTATACGAAGTTATAACGTCCATCGTTCACCGGTTTTGTTCTTTCCTCATATTTTATTCATGCTTTTATTTTGTACGGACATTAGGTAAGTGTATAAAGAATGAAATGTTTCAGTCAGCTGTCGTCAAAGCTTCAAAGCAGAAATACGGATCGAGAGGACACACAGGGTGTGATAAATAAAACTTATGCTCCTCACAAATCCTCTGATTTTCAACAAGAACGTAATGATGATCCTGGCAAGAGCAATTGGTCTTATCCATTTCCTCCAGCACCAAGAAGGATGACAAACTCTTGATACTTACGTTGAATTTTAAAGAAAATAAATGTACTTTAATATATGCAACTCGATAAATAAAGCTCAAAACTAGCTACGTATATTTAACTTCTTACTTTTTAAATTCGATTCTTGACTGTTATCGGTACGAAATATTTATTAAATTTTTGTTTGTTTAAATTATCATTACCGACTAGTAATCCACTAAAAGCGGAAAATATTCGTATTCATTTCATTGAATCCTATTATTGGAAAATTAGGAAACGGTTCAATGACATGATTATTCTTCTCTCTTCTCATAAATAAGAAATATAATATTAATTATAAATAAGGCACGCACACTAACACAATAAATATGTACATTCTTTTCAGTATGTTTCAAAGGAGTCTGTAGAAAGCAACGGGTTTCCGCTTCTATTCTCGCAATAACTAGCCGAAGTTCTCAAAATGGTGGATAAAGTATGGTAGTCTACGGCCTTTGTTCACCTCGTCGCAAGCAGACATTACGCTTTTGGTTAAAGGTCGTGGTCCGCAACTAAATACTCCTATTTTACTGACCTGCAAAATATAAAAATCTAAAAGTTCTTCCGCGTCGAAGAATTCATTTCATTCGTCCTCTCACTTCTACGAAAACTCCTGAGATACTAAAAGTTATTACAATGGTAATTCGTATAAAGTACAATAATACATTTTCGTAGTTAGAAGTACTTTTGAAAAAAAAGAAAAAAAAAGAAAACGAAAGCTTTCGAATCGTTGAACTTTATACTTTTTTAATAACGAAAAGCCTCAAGTACTTTTATAATACTCACGTAACTATGTTTCTTTTGAACGAACTTTAGAAAGGAGGTCATATCCGGTCGACCAAAATGATTAATAGCTTTCAGTCCAGTGAATATGCTTTTCTTAGATAATCTTTGAAAATGATTTTCACAGATATACTGAAAAAAATATCAAATTGAACATTCGTCAGAGTTCGGATAAATTCATCCTTAGAACGGATATCAAAAGTTGAACGATCATTTCTACACTTACAAGCATGGTAGTACGTAAGTCGAATTTATGAAAGAACTGAGTTATAAATATGTGTATCTCGAGAACGTCAGTTACATCTTTCCTTTCGACGTCTCTGAGAACGTCGATGAACCACTCAAAGTGTTTGTGGGATGGGCAAATCCAAAGAAAGTATACCTGTCGAGAAAAGTCAAACGATTCGTAAAGAAAGAGAGAAAGAGAAAGAGAAGGAGAATAGGAAACATATGTTTAAAGATGAATTCGGAAGAACGTTGGGTACCTTTTTACAGGCAACTCCGGAATATCTGTTGGTGGAAGTACCAAAGACGAGATCATTCAGCATGGAAGCATACGGAGTAACTCCAATTCCCCCGCCAACCATAACTGCTACTTCGAATTTATACCAGTCTTGATTTCCACCTCCGAACGGTCCCTCGATTCGTATTTTAGGATGATCGTCCTCCGGATTATAGTTACAAGGATCAAAGTAGTTCCTTAATTTCCAGGTCCATGGACCTTGCGCTTTTATATGACACGAAAGGAAGTTCTCGTGGGGCGCCGAAGTAAGGGTGAATGAGTGAAATTCATTCGATCTAAAGACTGTACACGAGAGACGTACCCATTGACCCGAGAGATACTTTAGATTTGGAGGTCTATAGAATTTTATCTTTATTACATCGGAGGGTAGCAATTCCGTCTCAATTATATCAAGGGCCATGTATTTCGTTCTCAAACTTACGACCTGAATTCAATTAATAAATGTTTTATTCATTGTTTCTATGAAATATATATATATAATAATCAGAACTTTTACCTTATCAAGAGCATAGATGATAGCTGGACCTACGAAGAAAATCCAAAATCTCGGCGAGCCGGTTAATCTAGCTAAACCGTGGATCAATGATAACGCATAAAATAATACATACAAACTGTGAGTTAAAGAAAAGAATTTATATGCTTTTTGACGTATCGTGGGATGCGCGAAGACGAAAATGATCGTCATTACGAGGAAAAGTAGAATACCGGTTAAACCTGAAAACAAAAAAAAAACAAAGAACAAGAACATAAAAGATAATAAAATGTAAATGGTATTATACGTGTATAAATAGTATTAAAAATTCAATAACTTTTTTCATTACAGACCTGTCACCGTTTGAAAGAGCCAAAATGTGATAGTTGGCTTGGCATCGCTTGGAAAACTGATCTCGTTTGTGAGGCAACGGAGATGTGCTATCGGTTGTGTCGATACGTGATAAAAATTCACGATGTGTCCGACCGTATGTAAAATGGAAAAAAAGAGAGCCGTGCAAGCGGCTATTTTGTGAAATTGTATGTGCGAATCCAATGGTATGTATTGCTGAATCGAAAATTCTTTTAATTTGGTCAAGAGATTGCGAGACATCGTGAGGAGTAATAGACTGTAACAAAATGACAAAGCTGCTGCCGATCCTCGAGTTATAGCGATACCAACACCCATAATGTGTCTCAAATCCGTATGTTCAGCCATGAAAGAATAATCTATAAACAAAAAGTTATACGTTTAAAAAGATAATAATTATGTTATCTTTTAGAACAAAAAAAAATACTCTTCACAAGAAATTTATAAACTTTTGTTAAACTCACGTATAAATCTTTCAACAAATAGTGCTATAGTGATAACGTAAAATACGAAAAGATAAAATATATTTTGTCTGTTTTCCTCGAGAAAAGTCGATATTGCGTCCCATTGTTTGCGGGTCCAACTCTTCGAATCTTCCGGTGGCAGTTGATCGATATGGAAGCTCGTCATTCGTGCGACGTTTGTCGACATGTCTAAAAAATTTTGTTTTGCTCCCTTACAGTCCAATCCGATGGCCACAAAATCACCTTTGTATTCTTTCATCATTAACTTGAAATCATTGTAAGTAAGATAATTTTTCCTTTCAAGCCCAGCGTCCTATGTTATGAAAATAATTGATTTTATTTATCTTTAAAGATCGTTTAAAGATAAAAATATGAATGTTTAATTACTTGAAACATTCCATCGATGAGTTCGGTGACATGATCGTCGGAAAGACTCGTAGTACGTGCAATTTCAACGAGGGATCTTAACATCTCGGATAATTCTTCTTTATCGATGACACCATTGCTATCTTTATCGCACATATCAAAAATAATACGCAATTTGTCCTCGGTTTTACCACGGGAAAAGAGCAACACGGTGTCGAGAAATTCTTGAAAGGATATGCGACCGTCGCCGTCTTTGTCGACGATATTAAACATTTTCTTCACGAAAACTGCATCAGGACGCATACCGAGTGCACTAGCGAATTCACTTTTTGACAAAGATGTACGCATAGCTGTAATAACTTCGCCCGTGTCGCTATCCTCGGATCGTCGTCGTCTTTCTCCAGGACGTAAACCAAATGTCAACGCGTAAGCTTCTCGGAAAAACTATTAAAGTTCTTTTTAACTTTCTTTTCTTTTCTTTTCTTTTGCAATACAATTATTTCTAGTTTTTTTCTTTTTTCATAATTATTAAAAATGTTGAAGAAATAAAGAAAAAAGAAAAAAGAATTCTGTTGTTCTGAACAAATAAATTATACCAACCTGTTCGAGTTTCTTCTGACGACGCTCTTTAGTTTCCGCTTTTGCTAGCATAACATCGCGGTTAACTTGGAAAAGCGTGCAATGTTTCTTGTGGGACGACAGGAACGCTTCCAATTTCGCAATGAACTTTCTGCGCGAGGCCAAGGAATCGAGTTCAAGGACAAGGTCATAATCACGCGGTATACGTAACAATACCAGCGCCTTTCTATGCCCACTTTCGCTCTCCTTAAACATTTATCGAAGCTTGAAATCAATTGGACAAGATCTTAATTTTTTAACGTAAAAGAAAATAAAAAAGGATGAAAATTGATTATAGGTATAAGAAAGAAGAAATAAGTTGTTAAGGAAGATAACAAAAAAATATACCTGAGATTCTTCTATGGTTATTGTATTAACGCCACTAAAATCGAACGTACGAAGTTTTTCGCCTTTTCGATCGACGATATGCAAAGCTGCTTCTGGACCGAAGCGAACTTTTACCAAACGACGATGATTAGCGTGCAACCATTCGCGTACAACCATTTTATCGACGCAAATTCTGTTGTCACTTCTCCTTTGAATTTCTTCTTGAAGTATACGTAAACGACGTCTTCGTCGGTTTTGTAGTTTCACCAAACCATAAGCAGCACCAGCGCATAAAATTGGAAAAAATCCGAGGAAGACACAAGCGTAGATGTATACGAATTCGCTGCCCTGTGTGAAAATAATATTATAACGAATAAATAGTATTTCACGAATCGTTTAGTGCCTAAGTGTTATAACAAATAAATTTCACTTGGCTTACTTCAAAATAGTCGTATCGCTGCAACGGTAAACAGGGTTCGAGAACGGATGAATTCAATTGGAAAGGTTGAGGACACGGATCATTTTCTTCCCAAAGGAATACTCGCTTTTGAATTGTGTCCGGTGAAATATTAGTCGCATTAGTGATTACGTCCCACAACGTCACACGACGTATATCATCTATTTCGTTTTTGGTAAAGATCCTGTATAAAATATAAATGTATGTTTGCAGTATGTACTTTATTATACGATCGAATACTGTAGCCTTCGATTGAATTTCAAAGGAATTCCCATCTTACCCAGACTCTTCGTTTTCAAACCAAAAGCGATCAGAATCTCTCAAGCGTAAAAATTGCTCTTTAATAACCGCAGTAAAAAGTTCTCCCGGACCATCACTGGATTCCAACATACCGCCAACATAAACATCAACATTATTTAAGTTGTTAGAGTGGATTTCAACGAGTGTACGCAAAAGAGATGGATTTTTGTTGAATAAGTCAGGATTAATCTCGTTCCATGTTTTCCTTGGCGTTAACTTGAAATGTTTTCGTGCTGTATTGTAATCCGGTAATCCATTATCACGACCACGCATGATATTAAGAGCCCCAAGATCCCTGCGGGAAAATTCCATGGGTCCGAATAAATTGTTTCGTATATCTGTACCGAGAAGGTTGTCCTCTTTTTCGGCTATTTGAGAGCTCATTCCCATAATTAGTTCTTCTATA